TCGCCGAGGGCAGTACCTGGCACCAGGAGCGTGCTCTGCCCCGTACAGCTCACCCTCACGTTTTCCCGTGTTTTACTTTGCTTTTTGGCTGTGCCAGCAGACTGTGACAAACTGGGCTGAGCCGCTCACACCGAGGGGAAAAGCAGGTGTCCTCCCGCTGGGAGATGCTCCAGCCTGCTCCTCTGTGCATCCCCCGAGGAGGGGACTCTGTCCTAGGGCAAGCGATCTGGCGGGCCTGGGCTGACCCCCGGCTGAGGGGCAGGCTGGGAGGAACGGAAGGGTTTGGTGACTGTCAGAGCACTGTCTCGATGCCTCGAGCTGAGCTACGGTCAGAGAGATCTGCCCTCTGTGTGAAGGCACCTTCCCCGGGGTGCCTGAGCAGGGGGAGAGAGGCAGCACCCCCTGCCTACCCCGGCTGGATGGCTTTTCCTGCCGGCAGGACCTTCCCAACCTTCTCTGGCTGTCCAAGGGGCAGAGCCCCGGGGAGGGGGAGTGGCAGTGGGGTGGCTGGGGGGGTCAGCAGCGCTGTGTGTCTGCTGGCTGTGTCCGGGAGATAACCCGCAGGGCCAGGGACAGAACAGCCTCATCCGAGGGTTCTTCCAAGCCGCAGAGTTTCCTGGAGTATCGGTTTTCCCCAGGCACAGTGTGAAGGATGTCGAAATAACTTCGCTAGGTGTGCAACCGGTGTGTGCCAGCATGGGAGGCCCTGGTTCAGTCAGGAGCCAGGAAGTGGCTGAAAAGGAACTGTGCAGGTTACAACTTGTCAGGTTGGACTCTGCTGCCCTCTCCTTCCCGGGCAGCCCCGGGGCTCAGTGCACCTTTCCCGGAGATACCAAACGGTGGTTTGGGAGGAGCTAAAGAATCCCCCTTGGACCAGCGAGTGCTCTCTAGCATCTCAGCACCTTGTGAGATCAGGCTGGGAGCTGATTTTTTTGGGCACCTGCATATCTTAAAAACCATTCCAGTACCGTTGCTAGTGTTAGGCTGTGTCTGAGCAAGGAGCTTGGTGCTCTAGTTCCCACCAACCCAGCAGGGAGCTGGCCAGGCACCAAATACCACTGGTCACTGCACCACAATTAAAACATACCGTCGTAATTCATGGGAACGCTTCCCTACCCACCTCTTTGGCTCTGCAAACCCAAAACTTAAGCCAGGCTTGCTCTTTTATTCCTGCCTTGGGGTGAGCAAGGCATCCTTGTGCCCACGGGAAGGAGACTCCATTACAGCAATGAATAGGGTCTTAGAAAAGCCTGCGCTCATCAGGGAAATAAAGGCCAGATAAAGGGGCAATTAGCAACGTTCTGTGTTCAGTGGAAACTGGTGCATATAATAGCAGCATTTGAGATGTATAAAGCTCTGTTCCCCCTGCTCAACTCCTTTCTTTCCTTGAGAATTGTTCTTATGAATCAGAAAGGCCATGATATTTGTGAGGAGCTGAAAAAAATGCCTTTTCCCCCTTCTCTCCCGGGCTCGGGGGCAGCTCCCGGCACAAAGGGCAGTGGGAGCCAGGGCTGAGCAATTGCAGCAGTCCCGGGATGTGGCTCTGCCTTCCCTCCGGCTGGCACGTGGAGCTGCTCTGACTGCCCTTCTCTCCTTCCCAAATTGTTTTCCAGTTGCCTTCCTGTCAAAGCCTCAAGGTCTGGTTACTCCCAAGAAGAAAGGGAACGGCAATAAAAGAAGAAAAGGCAAAGGCCTGGGGAAGAAGAGAGACCCGTGCCTGCGGAAGTACAAGGATTTCTGTATTCACGGCGAGTGCAAGTACATCCGAGAGCTGGGAGCTCCCTCCTGCATGTGAGTTGCTGGCGTGTGCCTGTGCCGGGGGAGCCTTAGTCACGGTTCCTTCAATTCTCTGGGCCAGGCAGAGGAAAAACGAACAGGATATTTTTAGTGCATGTTCTCTGTCTCTGTGCGGGGACAGCTATGACTTGGCCTCTTCCTTGTGCTTCTTGGGCAGTGTCCATGCCCCACCAAAGCCTGTCGTGGCCCTGGATCCAGCATTCCCTGCCGGCACGGCGAGCTCCGGCTGAGCTGCTGTGCAGAGACCTGTGGTGCTGAGGGCTGCAGGATGGTGTGCAGGGCTGGAGTCTGGCAGCTGAGGGCTTCTGCAGGTCTGGTTTGGGAGACCTCGTCCTGACCCTGTCACCCTGCATCCCCCACTCAGAAAGCTTAGGGCTCCTGTGGCTGTTGGGGTGCACCGGTGCAGGTGGGATGAGCTGCTGTAGCACCAGCGAGGAGGACTGGAGGTAGCACCTTTGGGGACAGCCTGTCAAAGCCATGCCCAAGCTGTCCCTTGGCCTGATGAAGGACAGGGCTGTGTAACCCTGCTTGCCCATGCCCCTGGAGTACAGGTAGAGAGAAGGGACTAGATGAGGCAAGCAGAGGAGAAAGCATTTTCCTGCTGCTGGGACACCTTGATACAGGACTTGCTACCACGGGAAATACCCAGGGGTGCACATTTGATCCCCGCTTACGTGGGCAGGAGTTGAGCTGGCAGATATGTAAGAGGCTTTGTTCTTCACTATCAATCCTCTGAGCCACCCAGCCCTGAGCCCAGGGAAGATAATAGCTCCCTGGCTTATGGTGCCCACAGGATCTCATGCCCTGCAATCCGCAGGGATCAAGCTCTGCATAGCTCCTCTAGTCCCCTAGTTTCTCTCTGTGGAAGCTGCCATGAAGTTGAGTCCTTGCATGGGGACTTGGGACTGCCAGTGAAGGGAGATCTCTGCCAACTCAGATTGTGTTGGTGACCCAGCAGAATGTGGGGTGCAGAACCCCTGCCTGGGACTGGGACAGCCAAGATCCCTGGGACTGGAGAGGACCTGGGGTACGGGCAAGCAGGAGGGATTTGGGGGTTGTCTGGGCTCTGCAGCCTGGTGGCCCAACCCTGGGTGACATCTCCCAGAGCCATCATGGTTTTTAGGAACAGTGGCCAACTGTTCCTAAAGAGGCCTCATGTTGACTGGTGTCACTAAGTTGTGGCTGCTCTTGGTGGCTGGCTGCCTGTGTCACAGGGTCTCTTGGAGTGTTCCTTCCTTGGGCTGGTCCCTGGGGATTGGGGTGGAGTGAGGATGCTGCTGGGCTGGGTCCTGCACCTCTGACTTGTGTGCAGCCTTGCTGCTGTGCCTGGGAGGTAACACTGGTATGTGCCATTATGAGCTTGGGAGGAGGGCTGGGCTAAACCCGGCTTGGACATCAGCCCGAGGGTCAGTGGTGCTGGATATAGAGGGATATATATATCTGGTCACATCAGTGGGCTGTGGCTTGGGAAGGGCTGGAAGCCTCACAGCCCTGTGGGGAGCGTTATTTCTGTTCCATGAGTAACCTCCTGAGTCTGCAGGGACGGGGCACCTCTCGGCTGTCAGGGTGTGCAGGGACATCCTGCTCTGTGGGAAGCACTGGACCAGCTACCACGCTGCTCCCTTCCTACTTCCAGAGGTGGTCTGGGCAGCCTGGCTCTGCCTGGGAGGGACTGGCAGGAGACAGACCCTGGTGCCTTCTGCAGGTGGAGAGTTTAACCTTTCTAGGAGTCTTCACTTGGCGCAGGAGAAACTTAATTTATGAGTACCAGGGAGAGATACCGCCTTCCAAGGGGTGTGGGGGGACACAATGACCTCCTGTGCTTGCTCCCCACCAACCTTTATGACTTTCTTTCTCACCCAGATGCCAGCCAGGGTATCACGGAGAGCGCTGCCACGGCCTCTTGCTGCCGGTGGAGCACCCGCCCAGCGCGTACGACCACACCACGGCTCTGGCCGTGGTTGCTGTTGTCCTGTCCTCCCTGTGTCTCGTCATCATCGCAGCCCTGCTGATGCTCAGGTGAGTGGGACGGGGCTGAACTCTCGGAATCTGTGTCCCTGGGAAGATCACGTGCAAGAGGAAGGTGGCAGGGACCTCTTGCCCTGAGCATCCCTTTGCTTGGCCTCGCAGGTGTCACAAGAGGGGTGGCTACGATGTAGAAAACGAAGAGAAAATCAAGCTGGGCATCACTGTGAATCACTGAGGATGCCGGGTGCTGGCGAGGTGAGCCCCTGGCTGGGCAGGGGGCAGCAGTGGGGCTGGTGGACATCTGGGGGCTCTGCTGTTCATGCTGGCTGGGACTGCTATATGGATCCCGTGCCAGAGCCAGGCAGGAGTGTTGAAGGCAGCCTAAGCCTGGAGAAGAGCCTGCCTGGATTTGGGCGGAGAACTTGGGCTGCCCTGTGGGGCTCCAACCCTCTTATCTCGCCTTCCTGCCCAAGTCCCTGTTCTCTGACTACTTCATTCCTCCCACCTCCTCCTTTCTAGCCCCCAGTCCCTGCTCTGCCCCAGTGCTCCATGCTTTGGGGATGTTTGGCAGTGGGGAAGCTGCTTCTGTTTTGGTTTTTTTTTTCCCACTTGTTCTGCTCCCTCTCTGACCCTCTGAGTCACTTCCCCTCCTTAGATATTGCTTCTATTTATACATATGTGTAAAAAACCCCTTTCCTTTTCACTCCCACTCTGCTTATTACTTGCAGCAGAGCAAGTAATGCTCTTGCAGCTGGGCACAGGGGGATCTTGCTGCCAGCCCATGCCATATTCCTCTGGCTGGCTGGGTGGTGGGTGAGGTGTGTGCTCTACTCCAGGGGTGGCTGCAGGGCTGGGTGCTGAAAAGCTGTCAAACTTCCTCTGGTCTGATCCAAACCCTGACGTTAGATGTGGCCATACATATCACAGCTCCTTCTCTTCTTGAAAAAAAAAAAAAAAGAAAAGTCATTGTTCTTTGTAAAGATGAAGTAATGCCTTCGGAGAATTTCTGTCATGTTTGTCACAGTGCTGGGAGTGGGATTTTGAGCTGTTCATTGGAGCTGAATTTTCGAGAAGGAGACTCAGAACAGGGCTTTCCTCACTGTCCCATTTGCCCTGGGGGTTACTGGGGTGGATGTGTCCAGGGGG